CAACCAGATACTAATAAGCAGTCATTTTATTTTGGATCAGCCTTCGGTACAACTGGAAGCCAGTTGGTGGGGTGAATTCTGTGTCCAGATCAGATATACATTCGCCTGAAGTTGCTCTTACTTGAGTTACTGCTATTTTCACTAATTTGGACAAGTATTGCTGTTCAAACCGAAACATAGAATTTTTTCTTTGGTCAGCTGGGTGTCTAGATATCTGCAGAAACCCACCACCATGCTTAAGAGTATTCAACTAGACTGATAGTTCCACATATGCATGCCAGTACACATGAAGGCTACCCTGTGTACATGAGCACATCAGCTTGAAGACAGCTCAATCCCAAATAAAACACAAAATACTGCAGATGCTGGATATCTGAAACAAAAACAATGAGATCACCAACAATCTGGAGCAAGTTTATCCTCTCCCTACTTCGGAAATCGGTGATATGTTCTGACAAAGGGTCATGGACCCAAAATGTTGACCCACTTTCCTTTCTCCATAGATGCTGCCTGACCTGCTGAGTGTTCCCAGCGACTTCTGTTTTTGTTTGAGTCTAGTCAAGCTGTTGGATTATTATAAAGAATGTGTGGTACATTTATCTATACATAGAAGATCTAAGTTGTTTCCAAAGAGCTGAGAGTTGGCACAGCATGGAAAGAGAATGAACCGGTCCTGTGAGATGTCACGCAAATCCAGCTTCTGTTTTTTTTCCGAGTGGGAAATGGGAACTTTTGATAATAGTTAATGAATAAAGGGTGCAGAATCCTTCAGTACAAGGTGGGCAAAACTCCTCACTCGCCAAGACAACCTCGTCAAATACTGATAGCATATGCTGCCTTATTCCCCTGTAATTATCTAGTTTACTGTTGCCTAGCAGCAAAAGAAAGCGTAAACGAACATTTATTCTGGTTTAATTAAAAAACTAATCCAATGCCAGAATTGGAAAATATAAGCTGTATTGTCAGCACAAGGTCTGTCATCATAAAGCACTTTTTGTTTATTTTTTATTCAAGTCCATTACCCCAAATTAATTCAATTTGATCAACTAATAATATCCAAATATGAAAGGCTTAGTTATTCTTTATTCTGTTCATATTGGGAAAATTCCTGGTATTTCAAGCCATGGTGAAGCAAGTCGACAGGTCTCTGAATGACTGAATTGTTACTTTTGTTGACCTCCTTCCCACCAACATCAAATTGGTCATTCACTTCATTGCTATTTGCGAGACATTCACTTAATGGCTGTGACCTATAAAATACATAGTCATTACACTTCACAATAAATCCTGTGAAGCATTTTGATATGTTTTGATGACACGATAAGGTGTCATATCAAATGGAAGCATTATTTATTATTATCCATTGAATATTTAAAAGCAAACGGTTTGTACCTTTCAGAAACGTGGGTTGATAATAATGATTCTTGCATTTGGTATCGCAACTCATCACGTCGTTGAGACATCTCAAAGTACTTCAGAGGACTTTATTATGAAGTGCAGCAACTGTATATGTGTAGGAGAACCCAACAGCCAATTTGCACACAGCATTGTCCCACAAACAGCCCTTAAGTGAATGACCAATCTTATTTATGGGATTGTTGACCAGGACACTATTCTTTTTTCGAATAGTGCCCTAGTATCTTTAACGTCCACCTGCACAGATAGAAGGGGTCTCGTTGCAAGCATAAACAGCCAGTGGTGTTTCACTCAGTGTTAGTGTTGAACAGACGTAAGAACACGAGAAAAGACCAAGGTCCATCTGGTTCGCAAGTACATATGTCCCAAACTACCTCGTTTAAAGTTAAGTTAAATCTGCATCTGAAACATCATGACAAAATTTTCTAAAAACTCAAGCATGGAAAGGGATATTCAGGAGGCTTAAATAATAAACCTTGCATTTAGTACAGCACCATTCACGTCAGGAAGAAGTGGCAAAGCACTTCACAAGATTTACTGTGAAGTGGAGTAACTGTACATTTGTGGACAAACATTGCAGCAAATTTACACTCAGTAATGTCCCACAAACAGCCATGAATTCCATTTTGGGGGCCAGGACACCGGGAGAAATCGCCTTCTCTTTTTGAATAGTGCCTCAGGATCTTTAACAAACAGACAGGACCTCGGTTTAACGTCTCATCTGAACGACCGACAATACAACCTACCCCAACATTGCAATGTCAACTTAGATGATGTGAAATCAAGTTCCGACGTGGGACTTAACTACCACATGGCACAGGAGTATCATTCTGAAGGCAACAGTGAGGATTTTCTTATCAATATTTCCAAAGTTATTTCTTGTGATTTTCTGGCCTCTGTACCTAAAGGTGCTGTCTCATGCTGGGATAGAATAACAATAATAACGCTTGCATTTGATATAGTTCAATAGGTGCCAGTTCCAGCCTGTTCTCCACCCAAGTAGCTAGAGATTACAGACTGTCCCACTGAGGGTTGGGACAAGCACACAGCTGGGTTCGATCTCGTCCATTCCAGTGACCTGAAACATCTTGGAGCATTAGCCTTAGGACCCCGGCCTTCAATTTTAAAACTATTCAGACTTTTTGAAAATTCTTAAAATTCAATCTCAATTTGAAAGCTTTTGTTTGGGGGGGGAAAAAAACTACAGCAAAACGGTTTCCTAAATTTTGGAATTTTTTCATACATGCACACCACACGCATGCAGACAAACACTCGTAGTCTAGGCTCACACATGAAGAAGAGCCTTTTGGGGTGCCAGAGAATGGCTCCAGATACTCCAATATGAGCCAACACCTATAAACCAAGTATTGGGTGAGACAAAAATAAATCACACAAACAGCAAAACATAGCAAGCAACACTGGATTCAAAATATCCCTCACCCTCATTAAACTCCACACCTTGTATGAGCACCTAAAGAATATAACAAGCATCAATTTTAGCTAAAGATACATCTCCTCCTTCCTATTTTCACAGAACAGCAAGCTGAGTTTTTCGCCTTCTATTTTATATTCTATTCTAATGTGGACCTCCTGCAAAATTAGCACATTCAAGAAAAACAAGTCAAGACTGAGAACTTTTTTCTCCTTTTATATACAATTCCTCCCCCCAAAAAACCCCAGAAGCAGCATCATAGAAAGTGCCAGCGCAGACAACAACAACAACAACAAGATTCCATTTATAGAGCGCCTTTCACGTCGGGAGGACATCCCAAGGCGCTGGACAACAGCTGCCGAGCAGAGAGGATTCAAAATATGGGGAATATTTCCTTTAAAAGAAATACAAGCTTTGCAAAGCTTGGAACAGGCACTAAGATCTCACAGGAACTGAATACATTTAATTTAAGGATGAGAAAATTATACCTGTCAGAGAGAACACAACACTAACTGCAGACTAAATTCCCAAGACTCGAGGCACCAATTTTATTATCTTTTCCTCCATAATAATAATCCTTGCATTTGATATAGCGCTTTTCACGTCGGGAGGACGTCCCAAAGCGCTTCACAGAATATACTGTAAAGTGAATTGACTGTATATTTGTGGGCGAACGCGGCAGCCAATTGCGCACAGCAGTGTCCCACAAACAGTTATGGATTGAAAATGACCAATTTATTATTGTTTTGGTTTTGGAGGGATTATTATTAGGCTCTGTGTGGAGTAAGGAAACTTGCCCAAGGCTTCGCCCTCTGCCTGGAATTGAACTCAGGTCTCTCGCTTGCAAAGCGAGTGCTCTAACCACTGAGCTACAGGACTCCACCCACATGACTGTGACCTAATAAGGACTATTGGGTGGCCCTGTATTTAACTTGATCACCACCTGATGTTCACAGCCATTTATCACAATTATACATTGTGATGTAGACGTCACTCTATAATAGGGTAACCATACGTCCTTGATTTCCGAGCACAGTCCCCGGGTGAGGTATTGTGTCCTTGGGGCCAAATTTGCCCCATCTTGAGATCAGCAACAGACTGAGCACGAACAATTCATTCTAAAACAAATACACTCATCAGAGAAATACAGCCATTAATCAAACGTCTCCAGTACTACCAACATCAGCAATTGTGGTGAGTTCAATTTGTTTTAAATATGTGTCCCAGATTTTTGTGGGTTTTTTTGCGTTTCGCCTACAAATAGACAGTCAATTCACTTCATAGTATATTCTGTGAAGCGCTTTGAGACGTCTGAAAAGCGCTATATCAAGTGCAAGGATTATTATTATTTGGTTTACACAATATGGTCATGCTATCTATAATCAACAGCACACAACCATCACATCATCAAGATTACCAACACATGGACACAATAAGCATATGCATCCCAGAAAGCAATTTCAAGGCAGGAATTTCCTCTACGCTACGCAGGCCGCAAATCGCACTGGTTCTCAGACCAACTTCTCCAGATGAGGTCAAGAACAGGATTTCAGTCGGATTCCCACTGCTTTGGCCCCTATTTACGCTGTACGTTTGGGGAGGAATCGCTTCACTTCAGTCAAGGAATCAGTCAAGCCCGGTTGCCACTGAGTCCAAATAAGGTCTCTATCCTTAAGTGCACTAGCAATGCATTCAGGGAGATTAGTACACAACAGAAAGTGCTGAATACAACCTTAACAGTACAACAATTTGCATTTTAAAAGTGTCCTTCACGTAGCCTGAATGACTCAAAAAGGGGTTGGGCTAACAACAAAGAATATCAACTAGTGAAAACTGAAGGGCAAGGACGAAAAGCAGTTAAAGAGATAGATGTTTAAGAGGGTTCCGAAAGGAACACAACCCAATTTTAATTTATAGAATGCAGTTCACTTCTCAAAGAGCTTGAAGAGAAGGAGCAAGGCGAATGGATCTAGGGAGAGATTTTTAAAGAACAGGCGGTAAAAGGGTCACGCAATCAGGTTTTTTTTAATAAGGATATTAGAGCATGTACTGCTTAGCCATGTACAACCATCCACTGACGACATACTTGGAAGCGAGGTTATGGATCAATGATGAGCATATCTCCCTCCCCGACAAGTCGCAGGTGTCCTACCTTGAAGCAGTGACGCTGCTCAGGAGTTTCTCAGTGTTTTCAGAGAGGTTTGTGGGCAGCAGAATTTCGGCCGGTTGTAAGCAGAGAATCCGACTCTCCAGCTCTGACCGCGATGGACAGTCTTGGAAACAATCGAAGACCACGTCGCCTGTGTTGGGCTGCACCGCCTACAAACACCAGAATTACACGTCAGCCTTTGAAGGGAGAATTCTACCTGGAGTGAGATTATGTAGTATTTCAGGGCATACAGAAGTTGGCAAATGCTTAAATACTCACTGCCCAAGCCTTTAGCAGCACAGTCCTTCAATGTAACGTTGCAACTTTGCAAGAGCAGTCTGCTCCAACTAGTGGAGTTTTATTGTAACATGGTGGTTGGTGGATTTACTGTGCGTTGCTGGCAGCCAGCTCCCTGCTCGCTGGCCGGTCTCTGTGCTAAGAAACAACAGCCAACTTCCAGGTCATCAGGTTACAGCCCGCAAAGCAGGAACTGACATCAGGGGTAGCGTCCCAAAGCGCTTGACAGCAGTGGAGTCTGATACCGTGCCAGGGGGAGAGGGAGGGTTTCATCTGGGTGATGGAGGATGAGAGGGAGGAAGAAGAGATGGGGGCAAAGGAGTTTAGGTTGGTGACCACTTTAGTCCAAGAGTCAGTCGGCACACAGGAAGCGAGTGTGCTAGCTACACACAGGCAGTGAATGGGGCCACGGGGAAGCACGTTGTAGCAAAATTTGCCCTATAGAGAAGCATGTTAAAATGGAGCTCAACTAAATTGTAGGAATAGGAATAATTCCCAGCGCCTTGGGACGTCCTCCTGACGTGAAAGGCGCTTTATAAATGGAATCTTGTTGTTGTTGTTGTAATAAACAATAATAATCCTTACATTTGACATAGCGCCTTATCACATCAAGGCGTCTCAAAGCGCTTCACAGGATACACTATGAAGTGGAGTGACTGTATTTTGTGGGCGAAACGCGGCAGCCAATTGCGCACAGCAGTGTCCTACAAATAGTCGTGGATGGAATGACTATTTTCTTTGGGGGTGGGGGGGGAGGGATTATTACCTCCGGAAAGCGATCCACCAATCGACTAACAACCAGGTTCCTACTTACTGCTAGGTAAACAGAGGAGTATGTGTGGAGTAAGGAAACTTGCCTAAGTTTTCTTCCTGGAATGTGGGAAGAGAGGAGGGTGTTCTTAATAGTGGAGCAGGCTTGACCAGCTGAATGCCTTACTCCTACTTCTTCAGTTTAGTCATTACATGGACGCACGGCCTTAAAATCAAGACCCAGGACAGTTAGATCTGAGGTCAGCAAACATTTCTTCACACAGAGAGTTGTGAAGCTATGGAATTACTCTACCTCAGAAAGTTGGGAGTGGCAGAATTAATAAGCTCACACTGCTATCTGGTGGGTGCACAATGTATCGCAAGAGACAATAATTGGATCCACTCAGCATTACTATTGCATTTTATGTGGCAGCCAGTTTAGTGGGTCATTGGCAGAGGGCGAGAGACTGGTCACACTCAGGCTGGGGAAAGTGCTCTGTGAAGGGGAGAAAGCAGGAGGCCACACATTCAAACAAACAAAAAATTACATTTACTGTATATAGCATCTTTCACACCAAGAAAACTTCGCACAGCTTACTGGGAGACCAAGCTAGACCAAGCTAGATGGTCTAGTCAGGACAGACAAACTTACAGTCAAACAGATAGGTTTCAAGGCGGGCTTTTAAGAGGGTGAGGGAGCGGGCAAGGCAAAAGGACTCAGGGATGGAGTTCCAATCTCAAAGGAAGTTCAGATCAAAGTTTCATTCTTAATGGTCTCTCACCACTAGTGCAAGCTGGACTCCCGGCTTGTGTCTCCCTTTGCTGCTCCCTTCATCTTCACTTTGTTCACAGATACACATCAGATAGTTACAGGGAAGATCATCAGTCAAATCTTCCACATCAGCAGAGTCACCGTCCAGATTCACTAGCGGATTGACATGTAACAGTGGTCAAGGAAGATATGGTAAAAGCAGGGCAGCATGGTAGTGCTCGTGTATTTTGTAGGTGAACGAAGTAGCTAATTTGCAGTCATGCCCCTCAAACATCCTTGAGTGAATGACCAATTTATCTGGATGATTGATAGCCAGTCACTGGAAGAAACGCCCTTATCCTATTGATTAGCGCCACATGATCTATAGGTCCACCTGAATAGGCAGACAGGATCTTTGTTTATCATCTCATCTGAAGGATAGCACTTCCAATAACGTAGCAACCCCCAACCCACCCGCGGCACTAGTTTGGAAAGTCAGGCTGATCTATGAGCTCAAAGTTCCAGCGTGAGACACGGAGCTTGAACAGAGTGTTGGGCTAACTCACTCACCAATTTTATTAGCTCCTCCAAAATTCAAGACATTTTTATTTCTATTGGGATTAGGTTGCTCTCTGGTATCTCACCCACATAGTCATTCCCTATGTGCGAGTGCTGATAAGCTCTTTAATTTCATGGGGGCACATTGGGGGCACACTGATAGTCCAGTCCACACACATACATGCAGCTTTCTTGATGGGACAGTAATCAGGAGCATGAACTTTGGTTTATATTCCCCCACAGCATTATACAGTCAGAATATTACACCACAGAAACAGTCATTCAGCCCATCATGTCTATGTTGGTGTTCTCCATATGAGCCACCTAATCTAATCCCAGTTTTGTTCACTTCCCATACTCTTTAATATTCCTTTATGTTCAAGCATCTATCCATTTTCTTTTCTAAAATCATGTGTGGACTCCACTTCAACAATGATTTGTGCAGAAAATTCCAGTGCAACCACCTGCACTATATGCAGGAAGTAGAAATCACAAGTAAATGAAGGAACAGCCTGCAGGGTATGGAGATTGTGACCCATGATACCCGCTGATAGGAAACTGGTCAAGTTTTCAATAATTAACCTTTTAACAACAACAACAAGATTCCATTTATAGAGCACCTTTCACGTCGGGAGGACGTCCCAAGGCGCTGTACAGTTGGGTCAGGACCCGAGCAGGGGGGAAATGGTCAGGGTGAAGGAGGGAGGGAGCGAGGAGGGGGTAGAGAGTCGAGAGGGGAGCTGAAGGCACGGTCAAAGAGAAAGGTCTTGAGACCGGCCTTGAAGGAGGAAAGGGAGGAGGCGGCGAAGGCACTGGGGGATAGAGTTCCAGAGCCTAGGGGCTGAGAGGCTGAAGGCTCGGCCACCGATAGTAGGGCGGTTAGGACGGGGGATGTGGAGCAGACCGGAGCCAGATGAACGGAGGGTACGGGCAGGTAGGTAGGGGGATAGTAGGTCAGAGAGGTAGGAGGGAGCAAGGCCGTGAATGGCCTTGTAGGTGAGGATGAGGATCTTGAATTCGATCAGTTCCCTGATCAATCCACCAGGTGCACTGTCGAGCAGTGCACAAAATTACAGGATTAACAACATTTAAAAGGATATCTTCTCCAATGAGGGTGGACTTTGTATAGAGGGCAGTCAGTCTGCGGGTGAAGAGATTGCTTTTGTTCTCTCCAACAGCTTTCAGTGCCGCAGTCTCTGTCTGCTTCACCACTCCCACCTACGGCATATACAAACATACAGAGCAACCCCGTTATAACACATCAACTTGCATTTATATTCATATCCTTTACATAGGATAATATGTCAAAGTGCTTCACAGAGGCAGGATTGGACAGTGAGCAAGGGAGAAGGAGAAGATAACAATATGCGCCATCAAAGAGGTAGATTTTAAGGCAGGATTTAAAAACAGACAGAAGGGGGGGTAGAGGGAGGGAGTTCCAGTGATTATGAGCGTAATGACAGAAGGCTCAGCCACCAATCATATCACAGAGGAGATGTGTACCGGCCTGACTTAGCTGAGTGGAGGAGGTAAACAGGGGAGTGGAGTACCATAATATCAAAGAGATAGGGAGGTGCTAGAGCGTGGTGAAATTTACAGTGAAACCCTGTTATAACGCCCATCGGATAGCGGACCCTATTGTGGACAAATTGGAAATACCAGCTTCCGACTCTCAGTGCTAAAAAATGGCCAATTTCCTGGTCGTTGGATTGCCACTAACACCATTTCCTGTGCCTGCACACGGTGCTGTACATAGGAAGCACCGGGTAATGTCCCTCAAACAGCCATGAGTGAAGGAATTGATATCAGCAACAACAAATGACATTTGTACAGCGCCTTTCACGTCAGGAGGCGTGCTTCCTACACAAAGCACTCGCATGCAGAAAGTGACATGAATCATCTTTTCACACCTAACTTATAGTAGGTTCTGATCTCCAAATGATGGTGGGAAGAGATTGAGATCAGAGTCTGATGGAGCAACAGGTTCCCTCCCCTCCAGCAACAACATCAAACAGAGGGATTGAAGAGCGCTCACCTTGTATCCCTTGACAACCAGCCTCCGAACATGGACAAAGAGACGATAAGACGGTATGCTGGCCGTCATGAAATTATGGTCTGGATGGCAGCAGATATTCAGCTCGCGTGCTGCGATCTGTAACAGCACAGGTCAGTCCCTTTAATAACAAGCCTTGGTAATGATTGGCTTTACTGTAAAATACTGTTAAACGGGAATTTGAGGAGTGGCAATGCATTAAATGTGAAATTCCAGTTCAACTTGGATAAGAAATAAAGGAGGACAAATAGAAATGTGTAGGATGGAGTGAAATTTGAAGCAAGCCAATGGGGTTGGATAATAATAATAATAATAAAGATAATAATATAATAATAAACCTTGCATTTGGTATAATGCTTTTCACGTTGGGAGGACGTCTCAAACCACTTCACCGGATTTACTGCAAAGTGGAGTGACTATGTATTTGTAGACAAATACAGAAGCCCAATTGCGCACACCATTGTCCCACAAACAGCCATGAATTGAATGACCAATTTTATTTAGTAGATTGTTGGCCAGGCCACCGGGAGATACTCCCTCCCCACACTCTAATGTTAAGGTTCGGGGACTAAAAGTGGTCATAAGAGAAAAAGAGTAATCTTCTCCTTGGGTAACGGTCAGTGGAAGGGGATGGATCTTGAGGGGAGGTGAGGTTGGGGTCGTGCAAATGGAGATGTTCAACAGAGGGCAGCAAACGTGACCCACCTCCGCATCTTCCCCAAAGAACCTGTACTTGTAGCCACACTCCACGCACAGCACTGCATCCTTGTGCTGCTCCTTGATCTCCATGAACTGCAACTCCAGAGGTGTGTACATGCTCTTTGACCTGCGGTTGACAGTGGGCTCTTCGTGGGTGTTCCTCAAACCAAGCCCCTTGATTGAAGCCGAAAATCGCTGCCAATCAGGGACTACAGCTTTCCGCAGACGCAGCTGCCAACATGAGAAACGAACATTTAGTTATTCCAGGACCGGCTTTCAATCACAATCACAGCTGAGCCGGGGGCTTTCGGCCAGAGTTCTCCAGGGGATCCAGGGTCCAACACACAAGAAACGTTCAGGTACAGAAAGCCCCTTGGCCCATCACGTCCTTCCATATCAACAACAACTTTCCCTTATATAGCACCATTAGAACGCAGAACATCCAAAAATGCTTCACGGAGTTGGAGCGGGAGCCTGGGCAGAATTGGAGATGGGGCGAAGTCACTGAAGGCACAATCAAAGCAATCGGTTTTTAGTCTGGTTGTGAAAGCGAAGAGGAAGTAAGGGATTCAAGGAGAGAGTCCCAGAGTGGTGGAGTGAACAAAGGAGTGGAGAGTGGTGAGGATTATCTAATTAGTGTGGGGAAAGGCCATGGAGGCATTTGTAGGTAAAATAGAGGATATTAAAAATTAATCTGATGGGGGATAGGAAGCCAGACAAGAATTGGGACAGAGTCTTGTGTGGGAGAGAATGTGGGCTGCGGAGTTCTGGATGATCTGGAGCTTGTGCAGGTTGTACTGTACAGGGCACCTTGGGATGTCCTCCCAACGTGAAAGGCACGATATAATTACAATGTTATTGCTGCTTTTGGATGGTAATGAGAGCTCAAAGTGGACGACTCACCTGATACCTCTCATTTCTATCTGCATCCTTTCCCAGCTCTGTACCCGAATTACAAAAATTTGAATGTTCATTTCCTGTATGTTCTATGTCCCGCTTACTCCTCTGGGTTGGCTCACTCTCAATGGAAAACCCCTTCAGTCTGTCCAGGGTAGAGGGAGTTATCCCTGGTTGCATACGTGCCACTGGCTCATCTTCATATGAAAAATACAAAGAAAAATTTCAATTTGGAATCTTTTTCCCTTTTCCTTCCATCATTATAGAAGCCGGTCGGACCTGTCAGATGTAATAATATAATAATAATGTCAGATGTAATACACACTACGAGGAGAAATTCCACTAGTATCTAGATTTACTTTACCTTCCTAGCAATTCAGAGTGTGCAGAATTTGACAAATTGTTGATTTCAGTTGAGACACTGAAGCAGATCTTGACGAAAATTTCAGGAAACTAGTTTCAAAATTAAGATTTCTAAATCAAGACCATTCAAAAATCTGTCAAATTTCAGATCTTCATTGGGAGTGACCACCAAGGCCGGGTGTCCTTCCCTGGTTGCGACTATGACAAGCTTTATCTTCATTATACCACGTCTCGCCGACCACCTTTACTTCCCCTTTCTGACAAATCCGCTACAATATATTAAATAAAACACACATCAACTCCAGTAACCAGTTACCAATGTGTCACCTTAGCTCAATCGCTAGCATTCTTGGCTCTGTGTCAGAAGGTTGTGGGTTCATGCCCCAGTGCAGTGCTGGTGCCTTCTTTCAATTGAGGCTTTAAACCAAGGTTCCTGTAGTGGATATTAATGATCCCAGTACACTATTGGAAAATTAAGGGTGCTTCTCCCAGTTACCTAGCCAGCAGTGTTCCAGATAAAGTAATCTTTCAGGTAAATTGATCTGTTTGTGGGACACAGCTTCTGCATTTGCTACAAATACAGTCAGTGGATAGAGTTCAAAATCCTCGTCCTGGCCTTCAAGGCCCTCCACGGCCTTGGCCTTCCCTACCTCTCTGGCCTGCTAACCCAATATCAACCCGTCCACTCCCTCTGCTCAGCAGCCACTGGCCTTGTCCATGTCCCCAGCCCGGACCGCCCCACCTTCGGCGGTCAGGCCTTTAGCCTTTCTGCCCCTGCCCTAAAAAAAATTCCACATTCCCTTTGCCTCAATCCCTCGCTTGCCTCCTTCAAGGCACGTCTCAAACCCTCCTCTTCGACCATGCCTTCAATCACCCTCTTACCCTCCCTGCCCTCCACCTTCCCCGATCCCGACCCCCAGCTCCAATCCAAGTGCCTGACTGTCCAGCGACTTGGGACGTCCTCCCGACTTGAAAGGCTAATACAAATGTAACTTTCTGTTATATGGTAGATGAGATAATAAATAGATTTACACCAACCATCATGCGCCATTTCTAAGCTTTCCTTTTGCCGTTACCAGCCAGCACCAAGACTGTGTTTAGGAATCACGTGTACTCACCACAGCTCTTGCCTTGAACGCCTCATCTGCAACCTTTCCTTGCCTTGCCGACTTCCTCCGTTTATTTTTGAGCTCATCCTGTTCCACTACTGCTCGCTTTTTCCTCTCAGAGTTCGGTGCCTGCACGACAGGAGTTTTTATTTATCACAACCAGGAAGCCAATCAACCCAGACCTTCTGCCGTTGTTCCGTCCACACCAACCTTTCAAACTGTAATTTTATAATAATAATCATCCTTGCATTTGGTATAGTGCCTTTCACTTCATTGCGACATTTCAAAGCGCTCAGAAAAGTGGTGTGACTGCGTGGATTTTGACATGAAGATGGGTTTCGGTTTAACGTCTCATTCTGAGGACAGTACTTCCGACAACACAGCACTCCTCCAGCACGACATTGGAGCGTTAGACAAAACTAAATGGGTTCCAAGTCCCAACTGTCTGGCTCAAAGGCAAGCATGCTACCAACTGAGACAGGCTGACAACTTCAATTTGATCACAACGTCAAATTTTTAAATGCAACAACTGCAACATTTTGTCACGCAGGCGCAAGCAGCTCTGCTGACATACTCACCTCTCCAGAAGCAAAGTGGCCAACATTGGCAATCATTTTGCCAACAAAATATACACTCAATCCACTTAAAAGTATATTCTGTGAAGCGTTTTGAGGCATCTGAGCGACTAGATAAGGCACTATATCAAATGCAAGGATTATTAATTATTATTATTGCTATTATTAAACAGACTGTAACTGCACAATTTCAGTCTCCTGAAACCTGACCCAATTTCCAAGGCAACATCGGGTATATTAGCGATATCTCTCTGGGACTGAACTGGATCCAAGAAGAAATGATTGACATCACCAAGCAGTCGCACAGGAGTCCGAAGCACTGTCTACCTTTCCGACCTGCTTACCCCCAACCCACAACCCGCAGCCTCCGCTCGACTGGCTCCAGCCTCTGCACATCCCTCATGCCTTCCAATCCACCATCAGTGGCCCACTTTCAGCCACTATGCCCTGAAACTCTGGAACTCTCTTTATCTATACCTCCGCCTTGCCCCTTCCTTCTCCATTTTCAGGTCACGCCTGAAGACTTTCCTATTCGACCGTGCCTACGGTCACCTCCCCCTCCCCCCCTCAGCTCGGAGTCGTGCTCCGCCACTGTCAAGTGCTCTGGGATGCTACCCTGCACGAGAGGCGCTATATAAATGCAAGTTGCTGTTGTGGATTTAACAGTCTGTCTGGCTCTTTGCTAAGACTTGAAGGTGTAGACAAGTCCTCAACGTTTGCTTCATAATAGGGTGATCCATGTAGCCTACATCACCACTGATTTAGAGTGGTAAGATGCACCACGACCACTTTGGTGATGACAAAGTGTGTCATATATAATGCACTTATGCAGCCAAGTCAAACCAATGGTTGATTATTTTTATGCTCTTCGCAAAGATCAACATTGCACCCATTCTTACACATTACACAACAAATGGTTCAAATAAGAGCAACTGTTTAAACCTGCACTCGTATTCGCAGTATGTGAGCTCCACCATTGAGAGACAGATGGTGAGCAAGAAGAATGCTCTACTGAGCAACTTTATGAAATGCAGCATCTTTTACTGTCAGAAACCACACTAGTGAACCACACACCATGTAAGATATCACAGAAATCAACAGCAATAAACATAACCCAAAAGAGGGGTCAGTTATACCATGCGATTATTTAGTTTTCTCAAATTGCCTTTTTATTCCTTGGCTCCATCTATTGGATCCAAATATGCACAAGACAAGCAATTATGCTACTGTGAGATTCATACAAAAATTCACCAACAAAACTGCACTTTACAGTATATCCTGTGAAGCGTTTGCACATCCTCCCGATGTGAAAGGCGCTATGTATAAATAATAATAATTCTTGCATTTGATATAGTGTCTTAACACATCTTTGAGACGTCTCAGAGCACTTCAAATGGAAAGAACATTATTATTATAAGCCGTAAATTCTTCTGCTGCTAGAAACATCAAGTTGCACAGCTAAGAAGGCCAAGGGATGTCTGACAGAGCTCTTTAAGATCATGAAGGTTAAGAATAGAGGAAATAGTCATTTCAACAAATCATTTCCACTGGAGAGCAAATCAGCGACGAGAGATCATTCATTTAAAAGGATCACAAAAAGAATTACGAGAGGCTAGAAAAAAGGTTGTGCAGTTACCATTGAGGATTATGTTACACAATGTGAACCTGACCCATGAAGATTGAAAGGATCCCACGTTTAATCCCTGGTCTGTGTTGGGTTATCTGATCTCAGACAAAGGTACCAGTTTCTCTTAGCATTTCTGCAATTGCCCCCCCAACTTGCTGCAGATTCCTAATCAGTGATCCCTGCTGGAGAAATGCAGATTTGCTGAGACTGTATCAGGACAGGACAGGGCAGGGCAGGACAGGGCAGGGCAGGGGGCAGGGCAGGGGGCAGGGCAGGGCAGAGGGCAGGGCAGGGCAGGGGGCAGGGCAGGGCAGAGGGCAGGACAGGGGGCAGGGCAGGGGGGAGGGCAGGGGGCAGGGCAGGGGGCAGGGCAGGGGGCAGGGCAGAGGGCAGGGCAGGGGGCAGGGCAGGGGAGGGGGCAGGGCAGAGGGCAGGGCAGGGGGCAGGGCAGGGGGCAGGGCAGGGGGCAGGGCAGGGGGCAGGGCAGAGGGGAGGGCAGAGGGCAGGGCAGGGGGGAGGGCAGGGGGCAGGGCAGGGGGCAGGGCAGAGGGGAGGGCAGGGGGCAGGGCAGGGCAGGGGGCAGGGCAGGGGGCAGGGCAGAGGGCAGGGCAGAGGGCAGGGCAGGGGGCAGGGCAGGGGGCAGGGCAGAGGGGCAGGGCAGAGGGGAGGGCAGGGGGCAGGGCAGGGGAGGGGGCAGGGCAGGGGGCAGGGCAGAGGGGAGGGCAGAGGGGAGGGCAGGGGGCAGGGCAGGGGAGGGGGCAGGGCAGGGGGCAGGGCAGAGGGGAGGGCAGAGGGGAGGGCAGGGGGGAGGGCAGGGGGCAGGGCAGAGGGGAGGGCAGGGGGCAGGGCAGGGGAGGGGGCAGGGCAGGGGAGGGGGCAGGGGGCAGAGGGCAGGGGGCAGAGGGCAGGGGGCAGAGGGCAGGGGGCAGGGGGCAGAGGGCAGGGGGCAGAGGGCAGGGGGCGGGGCAGGGGGCAGGACAGGGCAGTTCGGCTGCTTTGAAAACAAAATGCTTTATAAGTAGAAACAGCAAAAAGCAGGAAGTGGGTCACCGGCAGAAACACAACACGGGGCAGAATCATCACTGAGCGACCATTTCCTCTTCCGAGAAAGCACGTGGCTCCCTCTGTGTGTGTGTGTGTGTGTGTGTGTGTGAGGCTCTCCCCCTCTGACAGCGCATCTCTCTGTGACAGTGCACAGATCGACATACGGTGCACAGCGTCCAGTGCGGAGCAGAACCCGAACCGAACCGCCCGCAGCCGCGGTGCTGAGAGCACATGCAATGACCCCCTGTGCCGCCGCCGCCGCCGCCCCGGCAGGGAAGCCCGCGGCCGCTGACCTGCTGTGCTGCCGGTCTGTGTGCACCGGGGCCCTGCACCGCGCCGGCCAGAGGCTGGAAAAACTCGCTGAGCACAGCCCCGGGGCCGCTCGAGCCGCCGCCGCTCCGGGACATCGTGGAGTCCCGGCTGACGTCACGCCGCAGCCCAAGCCCCGCCCCCTACCCCTCGCCCCGCCCCCTACCCCTCGCCCGCCCCTCTCCCCCGCCCCGCCCCCTCGCCCTCGCCCCGCCCCCTCCCCCGCCCCCTCTCCCCCGCCCCGCCCCCTCGTCCCGCCCCCTCGCCCTCGCCCCGCCCCCTCGTCCCGCCCCCTCGCCCCGCCCCCTACCCCTCGCCCCGCCCCTCTCCCCCCGCCCCCTCCGCCCCGCCCCCTCGCCCCGCCCCCTCGCCCCCGCCCCCTCTCGCCCCGCCCCCTCGCCCCGCCCCCGCCCCCTCCGCCCGGTGTCAATCTCTTAAAGCGACACCGCCCATAATAATAATAATAATAATAATCCTTGCATTTGATATAGCGCTTTTCACGTCGTCCAAAGCGCTTCACAGAACACACTGTAAAGTGAATTGACCGTATATTTGTGGGCGAACGCGGCAGCCAATTGCGCACAGCAATGTCCCACAAACAGTCGTAGATTAAATATGACCAATTTATTATTGTTGTTGGTTTGGGAGGGATTATTATTAGGTGTGTGGAGTAAGGAAACTTGCCCAAGGTTTCGCCCTCTGCCTGGAATTGAACTCAGGTCTCTCACTTGCAAAGCGAGTGCTCTAACCACTGAGCTACAGGACTCCACCTCTTAAAGCGCGTCCCCATCGCACCCGCTGCAACTCGCAAACCGAACCCCGCGGTCCCGAGACGGGTGACCCGCTCGTCCTTTCTGTCCGCCGGAATGCGCAGTCACTCCACTCTACGGTGGTCCGGTAGTCTGGGGCTTGGAGACGCGTCGGCGACGCGGTAAAAGGCGCACCGTCAAACGCGAGGATTATAATCTCATCGTCTTCGTCATCGGCATCGTCTTCGTCGTCTCAAGAATTGACCTCTCCCGATGCGCTCCGCCAGAGGTCCACCCTTCACGAGCTCCAAATCATTCTGAATGCTGTAACCTGGACTGTGTCTCGCACGTACCTCTGCACGTGTGTCACTCACAGTTTGGCCTCCACTGACACCCAGTGACCCACCGAACCAACTTAAAATCCTCAACCTGACCTTTAAATCCCTTCACGGTCTCGTCACTCCAACCGAATTCAATTTCTTCCGGCGCTCAGCCGTGATCTAATTAAATGGCAGAACAGGCTCAAAGGGCTGAATGGCCTAATCCTGTTCCTATCTTCCTAATCCCCCGCCTGTCACTAACATTTCCAGTCAATTCATATCTTGTTATCTTTAGGTTCAACAGCTACAAGAATGCAAATAATGGATGAGAGAAATGGGCTGTTTCACTGGAACAGGGTACTTAAAAGAATCTGCCACTAACAACATTTATATTTTGTCGAAAACCTTTAAGTGCTCCAATGTGAAGGGTACAATGTAAATGCAAGTTGTTGTTGGATAATGTCTTGAAGTGCTTCACAGAGATGGAGTGGAATAGACACGCAGGAAATTATTTTGGGGTTTTGCTACAGTAAATCGGGAAAAGCTGCTTCCATCCGGTCTTTGAATAACTAAAGGGCATAAATTTATTATTATAATACTTCCATTTGTTATAGCATCTCAAAGTGCTTCACAGGATTTACTTTGAAATGCAATAACTGTATTGTAGGCAAATGCACCAGAATAATTGAGCACAGCCATGTACCATAAACAGTCATGGAGTGAGTGGCCAATTTTATTTGGGGGATTTGTTGTTCATGACACTGGGAGAAATTCCCTTATCGAATAGTGCCATGAAATCTTTAACGTTCACCTGAATAGGTAAACGGAACCTTTTCTAGATAATAATAATAATAATAATCCTTGCATTTGATATAGCGCTTTTCACATCGGGAGGACGTCTCAAAGCGCTTCACAGAATACACTGTGAAGTGAATTAACTGTATATTTGTGGGTGAAACACGGCAGCCAATTGTGCACAGCAGTGTCCCACAAACAGTCGTGGATTGAAGTGACCAATTTATTAGGTTTTTTTTGTTCTTGAGGGATTATTATCAGGCGTGTGGAGTAAATTAACTTGCCCAAGATTTTGCACTGCCAGGAATCAAACCCAGGTCTCTCGCTTGTGAGGTAAGTGCTCTAACCACTGAGCTACAGGACTCCACAAGGGACTAACCTCGGTCTAACATCTCATCCAAAGGACGGCACCTCAGACGATGCAACGCACACTCAACACTGCATTGGAGTGTTGTCTTAGACTGTGTGAATTCAAGTCCCGACATAGGACTTGAACCCAAATCTTCTGCCCTGGAGACGAGTCCGGGCCATTCAAATCATTAGCCAAAAAAAAACGGTTCGGATCATTATTTTTACACAGTGGATTATTAGGATGTGGAATTCTCTACCAAGGAGAAGCAGCAGCTTTTAAAAGGACAAAAAAAATCTGCCAAGGAAACCTCAGGGAGGGAGTGGGACTAAACAGATAGACAGCTCTCTCATCCAATCAGCATAGGCACAATGGTCGGAATGGCCTCCTCTGGTTCTATGATTATGCAACGATAGAAATGCAAATAAATTACGCGCATAAATAAATATTGGATCCAACGAGCGCGTTATAAAGAGAGATTCGGCTGAATTGCGAAGAGCACCAACACACACACGCGCGCGCGCGCGGTCGGTACGTTTGGGGCTGTGGTGAGTTCCCCTTTAAGAGTGTGGTTGTGTGACGTCATTTTGGAGCGCTTTATTTCCCGCCAAGAGGTTCCCGCGCTGCACAGAGCAGCAGCCGCTGGACTCCGGGATCAGGGACTCCGGGATCTGGGACTCCGGGATCACTGATAAAATGCCCCGAATGTTAAACTCGATCGTCGCTGTTTGCCCCAATATGGGGATCGGCAAAGACGGAAACCTGCCCTGGCATCCGAAAAGGCTGAAGTAAAGTGGCGCTCGTCTGTCTGAGCTGTACCAGACTCCCCCCCCCACTGGCCCTCTGGTCACAGGGTATATCGGGGGTTTGACATACATCGCTTTTTTTTTTGCACCTCTCCGGGGCTGGTCTGTAAAATCAACTCCCGGCAGAGCTGGTGTCCTCTGGACTGTGTACAATGTTGACTCAACCTTAGCCAGTCCAGACTGGTTCGTTCAGTCATTGAACGTCCTGCACAACAACAGCTTGCATTTATATGGCGCCTGACGCGCGGGGTAGCGCTCGGAGCGCAGAGCTCCACGCCGAGCTGGGGAGAGGGCAGAGGTGACCCGTAGACGTGGTCTTTTCGATGTGACTTAAAAGACGAGGGAGGAAGGAGGAGGCAAAGGCGGAGGGATTGGGGAAGAGACTTCCACAGTTTCTAGGTGTAGTGGCTGAAAGCGTGTCCACCGATGATAGAGCGGAGGGACTAGGTACGTGCAGGACGCCAGAGCTGCCTAAAACGAAGCAGGCGTGTGGGAGTGAGAGGTGGAAGCAGGTTGGAGATATAGGGAGGTGCCTGGAGAGATTTGTACACACAAGTGTGAGGATCTTGATTTTGCACAGCATGCAGTGTAAAGGCCTCGAGAGTTTTTGCTGGTAATTTATTTTTCATTTCATTATTTTATCTTTTACATTTTAGCAAAGAATTCAAACATTTCCAAAGGATGACCTCTACACCATCAACAGAAGGTAATGGCAGCAGGTTAAATCAGTTGTATTCAACACTGTAACACCAAGTTGTTAATGACAATATTTGTACTGAGGTACAAAGTGCATTCTGTGTAACAACTGCTTAGGCAGCAAATTCAAACTAGATTAGAGTCCCTGAAGCATATAGTCTCAGTTGAGCATGGACTGGGGGGAGGGGTAATCTCAATTTATTGCCTGGGTGTTTTGTTCCACCTCCTCCTCTTACCTCAACCTCATAGTTCTGTCCATTCTGTCCTAAATAGTTCAGATCCTACCTCTCACACTATCTCCACTTCATCTCCACAAACGGTTTCTCCTCCAGCCCCCTCACCATCTTGTGCGGTGTTCCTCAGGGCTCTGTCTGTGGTCCCCTTCTCATGATCCCTCTTGATGACATCATCCGCAGACATGGGGTCAATTTCCACATGTGTGTGGATGACACCCAACTATCTCTCTGCCTCCACCCTTGACTCCAGGATCACTGCTGTGCTGACAGAATGTCTGTCAGACATCACGTCCTGGATGAGAGTTGACTTTCTACAGTTAAACGTCAACAAGACCGAGGCCCTGCTGACTGCTTCCCGTCAGCTCAGGCACTGACAGCATCACCACCCATGGTTGCACACTCCACTTTACTAAGCCAGTCCGGAACCTTGTTTAACCCTCAACTATCCTTTCTGCCCACTTCTGTGCCATGACTCGCCACCTCTGCAACATTGCCCGGCTCTGCCACTGTCACACCGCAGGCCACCAGGTCCCTCATACACACATTGATAACATCCAGGCTAGACGATGCAAGCTCTCTGCTTGTTGGCCACCCTAACTCCTTCTCCATAAGCTGCAGATCATCCAGAACTTGTGTCCTCACCCACAGCAGGCTCCGTGAGCCTATTGCCCTCATCCTAGCCCAACTCCACTGATTTCCCATCACACAGAGGATGCAGTTCAAGATCCTAGTCATCATCTTCAAAGCCCTCCATTGCCTTGCTGTCCCCTACCTCTGCGACCTCCTAACCCCCTACCAATTGGCCCGCTCCCTCCACTCAGCGGGCTCTCACCTGCTTCATGTCCCCCGCCTCGCCCACCCCACCATTGACGGATGAGTCTTCAGCCACTCTGCCCCCATCTCTGGAACTCCATCCCACAGTCTCTCCGCCTCACCGCCTCCCTTGCCTCCTTCAAGACCCATCTCAAAACCCTCCTCTTTGACCGTGGCTTCGATCACTCCTTCCCCCCCCTTGCCCTGCACCCTCCCCAATCCCGACCGCTAGCTCAGGTCCGAAACACTGATTGTTCAGCGCTTTGGGACGTCCTCCTGACGTGAAAGGCGCTATACAAATGTAATTCTGTTGTTAGCTTTTTTTAATTCAAGAGCAGTCTTTTTGGAACATTGTGCAGTTACACCCTTTCACCACTATGTGTCACTGTTGTGCTTTATGTACCTTTTGTCCAATGTTATGGTGACTTTCTGTAAAAATTGTTATTCCCATTTTAATAATAAATAATAATCCTTGCATTTGATATAGCGTTTTTCACGTCGGGAGGACGTCCCAAAGCACTTCACAGAATATACTGCAAAGTGAATTGACTGTATATTTTCTGCCTCTTATTGTCTCCTGGGGTTCTGACCCAGGCTCTGACTGGAAAGTAAGAAGACGGGATATTGTTGCTAAAATGAAGGATTTAAACTTCAGTCAGCCTGGCTCAGATGGTAGCACTCTCACCTCTTGAGTTGGAAGGTTGTAGATTCAAGCCTTGAGCCAGGACACAATTCAAACAACTTCTAAGCTAACATTGCACTGCTGTGCTGGGGGAGGTTGCATTATCAGAGGCGCTGTCCTTTAGAGGAGACTTTAAATCAAGGACCTGTCTGCCTATTCATGTGGTTGTTATAGTTCCCATAGCACAAGTCAAAAAGCGAAGGGAGTTTCTCCAGGTGTCCTGGCCAACGATACTCCATTTAAAATTGGTCACTTTATGTCTGTTGGTGGGACATTGTTGTGCATACATTGGCTCCTGCGTTCACCTACAAAATATACTACACGTATAGTGAAGTAAATCTTGTGAAGTGCTTTGAGATGTCCTCTTGATTTGAAATGTGCTCTATCAAATGCAAATATTATTATTAATAATAACCCTGATCAACAGCAATTTACAATTACATGGTGTAATCAGGAGGAAAGCATTACATAATTGCTGCCATATACCTTTGAGTTTTTTTTCAAAGAGGTGGGAGAAGTCATAGCATGGTGTCCTATTGCGTAGTGTTTTTATCGCGATTGCCTGGCAAGCGAGAGGACCCAGGTTTAATTCCTGGGCAGGATGAAACCTTAGGCAAATTTCCTTACTGCTCACGCCTCCGTTTACCTAGCAGTGAGTAGGAAACTGGCTGTTAGTTGATTGTTGAATTGTTTTCCGGAGGTAATAATCCCTCTCTTTTTATAAAAAATGTTGGTCACTCAATCCACAACTTTATGGAATACTGCTGTTGGCAATTGGCTGCCATATTTTGGACACAAAATACAGTCAATCCACTTTACAATATATTCTGTGAAGCGCTTTGAGAAATCTGGACGGCGTGATAAGGCGCTATATCAAATGCAAGGATTATTATTATTAGCATGAGGTAGAAGATAAGCCAGTGGATCAATAAAGTGGCAGGTGCTACAGTGTGATCTGGCTGGAAACAATGGCTTGGGTCTCTTTTTTTTTTGTGTTGTTAATTATTGTATCACATGTTGTGTTTATTCTGCTGACAGGGAAGATCAATGTAGTTGTCATGGGAAGAAGAACCTGGTTCTCAATTCCTGAGAAGAACCGACCTCTGAAAGACCGAATAAATATTGTGCTCAGCAGAGAGCTCAAGTAAGTAATCTATCGATTATTTGTCAGACACTCACCAACCAATGTTAATACTATATTCCTATTGTTAGTGACCCTGAAACTGATAAATGGAGAAGACCTCTCGTAATCTGTAGTATGGAGTCCTGTAGGTCAGTGGTTAGAGCACTCGCCTTGCAAGCGAGACACCTGGGTTCAATTCCAGGCAGTTCAGGGCGAAACCTCAGGCAAGTTTCCTTACTCCACACGCCTAATAATAATCCCTCCAAAAAACAAAAACAATAATAAATTGGTCATTTTCAATCCACGACTGCTTGTGGGACACTGCTGTGCGCAATTGGCTGCTGCGTTTCGCCCACAAATATACAGTCAATTCACTTTACAGCATATTCTGTGAAGCGCTTTGAGACGTCTAGAAGATGTGAAAAGCGCTATATCAAATGCAAGGATTATTATTATTTAACCACTCAATATGCTTAGCATGTGATCTGAACTACCAACTCCTCTCTACAGTGCAGCGCTGTTTTAACTTGACTCTTTATAGTTCTGATTTGGTTATAATCTTGTTGTAGTGTAGACATCGTTCACTGCCCGTTGCAAACAGCTCACCTGCTTACCTCCTGGTTCTTACTCTAAAATAGCCGACTTCAGGTCATTACTGATATCACTTCTGACGAAGGGTCGTGGACCCGAAACGTTGACTCACTTTCCTTTCTCCATACATGCTGCCTGACCTGCTGAGTGTTCCCAGCGACTTCTGTTTTTGTTTCAGAAGAAACCCGATCCTTACATGAAGGAGAAAGAAATCGAGAGGAATGGGAGATGGCAATAGGAGGGATGGGGGCTCACATGGAGTATAAACACCAGCTTGGTCTAGTTGGGCTAAATGGCTTGTTTCTGTTCCCTTAATAATATTATTATTGTGCCTTTCACGTCAGGAAGACCTCTGTAAGCTTTTCACAGGATATACTATAAAGAGTGCATTTTATAGGCAAATGCAACAGCCAATTTAGGCATAGAGGTGGTCTAAAACAGCCATGAGGTGAATGACCAGTTTTATCTGGGGATTGTTGGCCAGGACTCTTCTCTTTTGAGTCGTGCCATGGGATCATTAACATCCACCTGAACAGACAGAGAGATGCTCAGTTTAGTACCTCATCCTAAGGCTGCACCTTCAACAATGCAGCATTCCCCAGGCACTGCACCGGGGTATCATTTTAAACTGTTGAGTTCAATGTCCCGATGTAGGGCTTGAACCCACAACTAAGCAAGTGCAGGGCTGTTACCAACATCTTGTAACAAGCAGCCCAAAGCCCTAGAATCGATCTCTGAATACACTTCCACACAAGATTTGTTTCAATGTAGTTTGTCCATAACTAAATTCATTATTTCAAATGTACGTTTGAGGTTAGAAGACCCATTTTGACTTGGAAGCCAAATGCTTTCAATGTGTACTTTTCTATTATTAACAGGATAGATCTTTCGGATTCTCTCTTCAATGCTTTTCCCAGCTCCAGAAGCTTAACTAAGCCAGAAATCTCTGCCCACCTCTCTCCCCCACCACGCTCCTCACAGCCATTAATCCAGTCCAGGTTGGTGGTGTCCCAGTACCGCAGAGGAATCAAATTCAAGATCCATGTATTCCACCCTCGGTCCTGCCCACCTCACCGTCCAGTCTCTTGCTGCTTGTGTTCCACTCTTGCAACTCAGGTCTGTTGATTGCTCACCACTGTCTTTGCTCCACCATCAGAGTCTGAGCATTCAACCACCATGCACGGCACCTGGAACTCTGCCCAACCCACTTCACCTCGCCTGTTCTCTCCCGGTCATCAAAAACCTCTTTGACTAAGTGTGTCTTTGGTCAAAATCTTTAAATGTCTTCTATTTCCTGCTTGGTGTCCATAACATTTACCAAGGGCTTTGAGATGTTCTTTTATAAAACGTTCTTCCATGTAAATCGTTTTTATTCTTGTAATTGGTAGTTTTGACAGTAACAGTTTCACACTGACCGACCGCAGTGTTTCGGCGAGTGAATACTATCTACACCCAAGTCCTCTTACCTGAGGAAATGGAAAGGTCATTGTTGTGTAGAGAGACAGTTTGGATCTGTGATACCGATGGTGGTGGGTTAGTACAGGTTTTGGGACATAAAAGTGATTGAATAAATACAAGTAATTTAGCAGATGTTCCTGGTTGAGAGGCTCCCGGAGAATCGGGCGAAAGCAAACCTCTTGCTATGTTTTCTAATGTGATTCATACTCTGGAATGTGAGCCTTCACTAGAGCCAGCAATGCTATTTCCGAATGGAATTGAAATAGCAGCAGGCAGGGTGCCCTTTGTGTACATCAGTAGGGGGTCTTTGAGACCTGCGGCAAGAGACTATAATTGGAATCAAACAAGAAATCTCGCTTGGTATATCTTTCAACGAATGGGAACTCGTGGCTTTAGTCGCGTGGATGCTCTTTAAATGTCATGTATTTTAAGTTTCCTGGTTGAATGTGGGAAGCCATGTTTAAATTAATAAGCTGGTCTTCAATGGCAACACTTCCTGCCAGGAAGCGTGGGAGATGGTCTCAAAGTGTAGCATCGGTTCCCAATGTAAAAGTTGCTCTGTAACCTTGTATGCTATCGGTTAGCGTTTGGTATATTCTGTACGTTGCTGGAGGTTGTGGTTTGATGGAATGTTTTTAAGGTGGCGATTGTTCTTCCAAGCTTGCACACATTCCCCCTTTTCCTTGCTCCTCTCCTCCCATTTTATACGTCTTGGAAGCATAAGAATTTCAGAATGGAGAAGGTCATTGGGTCCAACATGTCTGACAGTTTTTGACAGATCAACTCTACTTATCAGCCTTCTCACCATACCCTTCAATTCCTTCTTCCTCTGGAGCAACTCATTCTAATTCTCTCTTGAATTAACTCTACCATTTGCTTCAACGGCTCTTGCTAGTAACATGTTCCACAAGTCCATTACTCTGTAGCTGAAAACATTCCTCCCAACTTCCCTTATTGCAATGTCCTCATATCTCCTTCGTCTCATGGATTTTGAATCCTTCACTTTATGGAGCAATTTGCTGAGTCAATTTTGACAACTCTCTTGAAAATTTGACAAGTCAAATCAAAATCTCCTCTTTTCAAAGAAAGAAAATCTGTAACCTTCTGTAACCTTTACTCGTAACTTAAAGTACATCTATCAGAAATATTGCACGCTATATCAAATACAAGGATTATTATTATTAATGTAGCGTTTTAGAGCATCCACAATTTGGCAAAATGTTGAATTCAGACCCACTTAAAATACTAAATAAATATAGACCAACTTGACGCAGGTGGAATTTCTCCCTAATAGATTCTTGTAAAAATCCATCTACAAGTCTAAGCATTTTGTATGACTCATGTTACTTATCAACAGCAATAAAATTACATTTGTAAAGCGCCTTTCACGTCGGGAGGACGTCCCAAGGCGCTGAATAGTCGGGGATCAGGACCTGAGCGTGGGGGTGCAGGGTTGGGATGAGGGAGGGCAGAGGGGGTAGGATGGCGGCTGAAGGCACGGTCAAAAAGGAGGGTCTTGAGTCATGCCTTGAAGGAGGCAAGAGAGGAAGCAAAGGGATTGAGGGATGGAGTTCCAAAGAGTGAGGGCAGAGAGGCTGAAAGCCCGGCTGGGGAGACCTGGAGCAGGCTGGAGGGCGTGGACAGGTTGATCGGAGGTTAGCAGGTCAGAGATGTAGGACTGGGCAAGGCCGTGGAGGGCCTTGAAAGTGAGGAGGAGGATTTTGAATTCTATCCTCTGAGGGATGGGGAGCCTGGTGCGGGAGAGGACACGAGCTGCAGAGTTCTGGATGATCTGCAGCTTGTGCAGGGAAGATTTGGGAAAGCCGACGAGGAGTTTCAGTAGTCGAGCCTTGAGATGACGAATGCATGTATGAGGATTTTGGCGGCCTGAGGGGTGAGGCAGTGGCAGAGTCAGGTAATGCTGCGGAGGTGGGTGAAGGCATAACAGGTCATGGCACGAATATGGGGGAGAAAAGACAGTTGAGGGTCGAACAAAACGCCCAGGTTCCTAACTGGATTGGTGAGGTGTGGAACGCTGGATGCTGATGCTGCCAGTGCCTGAGGTGCGGAGGCGTTGGCTCGAGCCAATCAGGAGGGCCTCAATCTTGCTGTCATTCAGCTGACATTATGTCTGGAAAGGACCAGTAGTTTAGTTAAATGTGACCTCCTTCCCCTGAACTGCGACTTTGGTCACCATCCTCCCCCTCCCCCTGGCTCGGTCCCGGGATCCGTTACTGTGAAGCGCTCTGAGACGCCGTCCGGCGTGGAGGGCGCTCTATAAATCCAAGTTGTTGTTGTTGTTGAATTCAAGGTGGCGATTTAAGAGTTATGTTTTCCTCAGTGTTCATTCAATGACTGAAAATAATTTTCTGAAGATTTCCCTACAACTGTATTAAAACATACCTGTCTGTCCACGTTTTCGGTCATCTTTCCCCCTCTCCACCCCCACCTTGGCTCCCACCCCTAGCTCATCCAGCACTGAAGGGCTTTGGGACATCCCCTCAAAGTGAAAGACGCTATATAAACATAAATTGTATAACTGAGATTAAACTGACTTGTCAGCACTTTCTGGGTATGTCCCTTTCCTTTAAATCATAGCGTTATGTTAGCCTCTGAAATCTCTCAAAATGTAGTGAATTTACAGACGATATTTATTGAATCTTATCAATTTCAATCCTTTAAAACTGGTGAAGACTCGTGAAGCAAGCACCGTGTCTAATTTAAACGCATCTAAATTTTTCAGAACAGTATTAGCTGTGATTTGCATGTTCACTCACTCTTCACTTCCTGCTCGTCTTTCAGGGAAACTCCTAAAGGAGCCCATTACCTGGCTCATGACCTGGCCTCGGCACTGACTACTCTAGACTCCCCAGAGCTGCGGGACAAAGTGGATCTCGTGTGGATCATTGGCGGCAGCGCTCTCTATAAGGTACTGAGGGGGTAACTTTCTGAGGCCTTTGTGATTCACAATCCTAATCAACAACAACTTGCATATATATAGTGCCCCTCACTCTGGATAATAATAATAATAATCCTTGCATTTGATATAGCGTTTTTCACGTCTTCTAGACATCTCAAAGCGCTTCACAGAATATACTATAATGTGAATTGACTGTGTATTTGTGGGTGAAACGCAGCAGCCGATTGCGCACAGCAGTGTCCCACAAACAGTCGTGGATTGAAATGACCAATTTATTATTGTTTTGTTTTGGAGGGATTATTATCAGGTGTGTGGAGTAAGGAAACTTGCCCAAGGTTTCACCCTGCTGGGAATCGAACCCAGGTCTCTCGCTAGCAAAGCGAGTGCTCTAACCACTGAGCTACAGGACTCCAGGGATAGCGTCTTAGAACGCTTATAATCATACTCAAAGATAACTGCAAACATGTTTTTAAATTTTCCTTATTCAGGGTGACCCCATTAGGGTACACCCCACTTGAGTTTGGATTTACTTGTAGCCCAGGGAAACTGGTCCATGCTATACAAGGTGGGGTATACCCAGCACTGACCGACCAGCATCTGGTGCTTAAAAACCGACCACCTGAAAGCCAATAATAATAATAAAATAATAATAATCCTTACTAGTTATTTGGTGCTGCTTATGACCACCTCCCCCCAGCTCAGGCCCCCTGATCAATCTTTGTAAAACTGTGAAATTTACAGAACACCTACTTCAAAATTAAGAATTTGACATTCTAGTTGTTCTGAAATAATAATCCTTGCATTTGATTTAGCACCTTATTGCATCTTTGAGACATCTGAAAGTGCTTCACAGAAAGCGCTTCCTGTAAAGTGAATATGTTTGTGGGCGAAAATGCTGTGTAAAATCTCGACCCAGGTGGAATTTGTTGTGGGAACGATCACTACACATTACATTAATTGTGATGTGCTTTGAGGCATCTCAAAGATCTGATGATCAATGATTGCATTTAATTTTGTGCTCTCCGTTCCACCATCGGTGGCTGTGCCTTCAGCCAAAACTCTGAAACTCTCTCCCTCAATCCCTCTGCCTTGCCCCCTCCCTTCAAATCCCGCCTAAAGACTTTTTTGATCGTGCTTATGATCACCTCCCTCTCCCCTTGGCTCATTGTCAGACTCCGCGCTATATAAATGCAAGTTGTTGAATTTATAAAATCCAAAGATTATTATTATATTGCAATTTCCACCCATAATTCCCATCTGAACATGCAGATGTGCCTTAGTTTAGTATCTTGTCCAGAAGGAGCAGATCTTGGATGTTCTTCACTGGCTCCACTTGAAGACGTGATAAGACGCTATATCAAATGCAAGGATGATGTAAGGACTTTGAGCTCATAGTCTAGACTGACACTCCAGTGGAAGAGTGCTGTATTGTTAGAATTTCTGTCTTTCGGGTGAGATTTTAAACTGAGGTTCTGTCCGCCTGTTCAGGAGAATCTAAAGATCCCATGACCTAATCCAACAAGAGAAGCAAGTTTCTCCGGTGTCCTTGCCAACAATCCTCCATATAAAATTGGTCATCGCTTCACGACTGCTTGTGGGAGTTTGCTATGTGCAAACTGGCTGTTGCGGACGCCTACAAATACCCAGTCAACAGAAATTACGTGTGAAACACATTGAGAAGTTTCAATAGTAAATGCAAGGATTATTACCATTTGGGGAGTGGAGATTGCAAAAATGAATTCAAATGGGGGTTATGTAGAGTTCAAATCCGGGGGCATTACAAGTGGATTGTGGAAGGAAAAAGCACCGTATGAGCCAAGTGGCCTTTTCTGAGGTCATGTTTGCTGTTTTTCTGAGACAAGCTCTGTGAGCATTGTATGTCGCCTCCTCTGCATTCAGTGGCCAAGATCCCTGTTTGTAAATGATCCTTTATGTGAAACAAAAGGTGTTGCTTTACAATGAAACATGCAGTCCTGAAAATACTTTTATTCAGCCGTTTGCCTGGTTAGCAATTACCCATCCAGGCTTTTATGGAGAACTGAAGTGATGTCTGCAACAGCGCCTTTAAAAGATGAAAGGTTTTTAATTTTTCTCCGGCTGCTTCTGATCCCCTGTCTGCTTTGGCGAGCCTCTTTGATGCCTTCCATTGGGCAGTCACCCTCCCAGGTGTTTAATATGCTGTGCATTATGTGAGCCATTAACACCCAATTTAAATTGGCTTAAATGTTTTTCACAGCCAGCAAACCTTGAGCAGTGCTTGAGCTCACTCTTAATAAAGTTAGAATTGTTCTCTTCAACAGAATTTGCGATAGGAATTGCAGAATATTGAGTGCTTGATGTGCACTTGTAAGTAAAATGAGTTCCCACCTGGCAACATATCCCTAAAATAAAAACAGAAATATGCTTGAAAACTACAGCGGTTAGATGTGCAACTAAAAGAGCTAAATCAATCAATATGGGGTCTTATTTCACATTACCAAAGGCCACAGTTTTTGCTCTTATTAAACTTAAGTCTGGCTCAATTGGTAGCACTCTCAGCTCTGAGTTAGAAGGTGGTGGGTTAAGACCTTGACAAGCTCATAATCTAGACTGACATTCAAGTGCAGCGCTGTATTATTAATCGTGACTCTTTGCAGTGCTTTTCTCTTGACAACGAAACACAAAATGTTTTCCAAATATTCATTTGGATGAAATTGATGGTGTCCTTTTAAATGGGCTCAAACACCACGTCTGGACTTTGAAATCACATTCAAGGCTGACGTTCCAGTACAGTAATGGAGGTGTATTGCATTGTCAGGATTGCCATCCTTTGGTTGAGATATGTCTGTTCAAGTCGGCGTTTAAGATCCCATTACAGTGTTTGGAAAGAGAAGGGAGTTTCTCCCAGTATCCTGGCTAGCGGTGCTCCAGATAAATTGGTCATTTGCTGCATGGCTATTTGGCTGCCGCATTTGCTTACGAATACACTGTATTCAAGTTGATTTCAAGATCCTCACAATCTTCAAATCCCTTCATGCCCTGGTACCTACCTACCTCCTTGACCTTCTTACTCTCAATCCACTACCTCTGCTCGGCTGGCTCCCTCCTCCTGCTTGTCCCTCATGCCCTCTGTTTCATCATCAGTGGAACACTTTCAGCCACTATTCTCCCGAAACTCTGGAATACTCTTCCTCTATCCCTCTGCCTGGCTCCCTCCTTTCCCATCTTCAGATCGCGCCTCAAGACCTTCCTCTTTGATCGTTTCTACAGTCACTTTGCCCTCCCCTGGCTCAGTGTCGTACTCCGCCACTCTCAGGAGCTCTGGGACACTCCCCTGCGTGAAGGGTGCTATATAAATGCAAATTGTTATTGAATGCTGAATGTTGTACAGATTACATTTCGCACCACATGGAAATAGTGAAAAGCCTGTGGACCACTTTTTTATTTAAAAATGTAATCCACGTCCAGATGTTTTTGTGAATATTAAACCCTGTAAAATGCTATGCAATACTAGCTGATCTATCTTATTTTAATCTGACCTACAATAAGAGGAGAATAAATGTGATTATCCTAGAAGTGTACTTTTATCTTGTGTTTGTGCGGCATCTTGCTGTGCCTCTGTAGTTGCTCTCCTTTTATCTTTTTGCTGCATCAGGGGTTGAAAGGAGCCCTTGAGAAGAGATGAAGTCACTTGCAGCTTTCATTGCTGTTTCCAGCCAAATTTAAATTTCCATCCACTAAAATTATCAAGCTGGCCACATTAATGCAGCATGTTGCTCGTGGCACATTTTGGGGCAAACCTGCACTGCCTGGGAACGCGGCAGCCAAATTGTACACAACAATGTCCCACAAACAGCCAAGAAGTGAATGATAATAATAATAATAATCTTTGCATTTGATATAGCGCTTTTCACGTCGGGAGGACGTCCCAAAGCGCTTCACAGAACACACTAAAGTGAATTGACCGTATATTTGTGGGCAAACGCGGCAGCCAAATTGTACACAACAATGTCCCACAAACAGCCATGAAGTGAATGATCTGTTTTATTTGGGAGATTATTGGCCAGAACACCAGGAGAGACTCTCTTCTCCTTTTGAGTAGTGCAATTTAATATACACCAGAACAGGCACAGATGGGACCTTGGTGTAACGTCTCATCTGGATGGTACCTCCGTCATTTCAGAGTGCTCGCTGTATTACGGTGTCATCCTAGGCTGTCAGTTCAAAGACGAGACGTTCTGACTCAGATGTGAGAGTGCTACCAACTGAGCTAGCCAGGCTGACACTATTTTAAGTTATAATATTGTGCTTAAACAACAACAGCAAAATTACATTTGTACAGCCCCTTTTCACATCAGGAGGACATCCCAAGGCACTGGACAGTCAGTGTTTCGGATCCGACCTGGGGGTTAGGACTGGGGAAGGTGGAGGACAGGGGGGAAGCAGGGTGATCGAAAATACGGTTGAAGAGAAGGGTCTTGAAATGGTCTTGAAGGAGGCAAGGGAGTGGGTGATGCAGAGGGACTGTGGGATGGATTTCCAGAAGGTAGGGGCAGAGTGGCAGAAGGCCCACCTGCTAATGGTGGGGCTAGCAAGGCGGGGGACGTGAAGCAGGCCCGCTGAGCGGAGGGTGCGGGCAGAATGGTAATGGGTTAGAAGGTTGCAGAGGTAGAGGGGAACAAGGCCATGGAGAGCTTTGAAGGTGAGGACCAGGATCGTGAACTGTATCCTCTGAGTGATGGGAAGCCAGTGGAGTCGGGCATGATAGGGGTGATAGGGTCACGGAGCCTGGTGCGGGAGAGGACACGGTCTGCCGAATTCTGGATGACCTGCAGCCTGTGGAGGGAGTTGTTGGGGAGGCCGACAAGCAAGGAGTCTGCATAGTCGAGCCTCGATGTAATGAATGCGTGTATGAGGGTTTCGGTGGCCTGCAAGGTGATAAGGTGATGTGATATATTGAATGCAAGGATTATTATTATACGAACAGCCATGAGGTGAATGACCAATTTATCCGGAAGATTGTTGGCCAG